GGTGTTTGGGGGAGCTTTTTTGAAAAAAACCATCAACTTAATAAGTGAGTTCACGAGCTCACAAAGGGTCCTTATCCAGATCTGGGCTCACCCCCTCCAACCCTTCCTCCTCCCTCTCTCGACCAACCATGACCGCCACTACCACGTAACCCCTGCTACCTCCTCCCTCTCTCGATCCTCCATCAAACCCCGATCATAGTGCATTTCTCCTCCCTCTCTCGACCAACCATGACCGCCACTACCACGTAACCCCTGCTACCTCCTCCCTCTCTCGATCCTCCATCAAACCCCGATCATAGTGCATTTCTGCCCCCTCTCTCAACCAACCATGACCGCCACTACCGCGTAACCCCTGCTGCCTCCTCCCTCTCTTGATCTCCATCAGGCAACAACAAAACTGGAATCATTAACGAAGGTGCGTTCTTCCTCACGAGCTCTCGATTTTCTAATTTTTGGATTTTCTGATGTTGAAGAATCAAATTTTTTGGGTTTGGAGTGTTGAAGGCTGACTGACTAGAATAATTTAACTGAAGTCTAATAATTTGTTGATTTTTTGATTTTCTAAAACAAGCAGTTGTTGTTTGGTTCGAATTAGAGAAATTTGACATACAGTGCATTTTATATAGGTCATTTTTTGTGGATATGATTCATGTAGTTGACAGCAGAAAGATGGATAAACTTAATAGAAGGGCGAAATTCTGGGTATTAATGAGAAAATTAGATCTATTTTCATATTAATTTGAAGAGTATTCATCCAGAAGATGGACAAATTCATCTCATTTTTTAAGCAAACTAAATGGATTATATTTCTAAATTCAATTTATGTACCCCCTTCCCCTTAAACCTCTACCAACTAAAAAGACGATCAACCCCCAACCACTAAAGAAAATTCAGATACAAATATTTTGTATAGGTCAATTAAAATTTTTATATAGGACTACTATATAGGTCAACTATATAGTGAAGAGAGGACTACTATGAAAAGAGGACATATAGTGCATTGTATAGGTCAACTATATTTTGTGGATAAAATTTTGTTGCATACATCAAAGTTATGATCAATAGGAATACTATGGAGAGCATTATTGAGAACCAAAAGATGATACCATTGATAAGTCATGTATACAAATATTTTCAGGTTATCCATGAAAAGAAAGAGTTTTTATGTTGTGAAAAGAGGTCGACGATGTGGTATTTTTTATAATTGGGAGAAATACAAATCTCAGGTAGATAAATTCCCAAATGCCTCCTATAAAGGGTATGCAACGTACGAAGAGGCTTTGATTGAATGGGAGAAGCACACTCTCGCTCGTGATTATTCAGTATCCAGCTCGAGGCATGTACAAACATCTGTTTTTTGCTGAAGAACAAAGATATTCAGTGAGACATAATCTGGATGAGGACAATGAAAAACTTAGGGCAACGGCTAGTTTCTCCATCAATGCTTTTGTATTAGGTTCATTGTTTACAATAGTAGTGTTTCTCGTATGAATCGTTGCGGTATTTGTTGGTTTCTCCATTGCAAAAAACATGTGATGTTATCTTTTTATTTTTGGTTTCTCTGGTGTTTTAGTTGGGGCTCACATTGTCTGTTGTTGTCGAGGTCCAAATCCAGTTTGGCGTCGGTGATGTTTAGTGTCTGAGTCTGCTGAGGTTGCTTTTACTGGCTGAAGTTATGGCACTGTAATCTTTGTGACCTTTTCTAAATATTAGTGAAATAAGTCCTTTGTTGTTGTGTAGTTGTGGCTGCAGTTCTTCTTTTGTTCCTTACATTTAATGTTTTGCGTGGTTTTGTGATCTTTGTCTTGCTTTGTTATTGAAAGGTTTTGCGGTTAGGAGATAGCTAGTGCTGTTCAGAATTGTGCTTTGCGATCTCTGTGTTGTTTTGTTTTTGTTTGTGGAAGGGGTTTGCATGAGCTTTGTGTTGTTTTATTGATGACATGTTATCGTGTTTGGAGAAATTTGGCAAATTTAGTTGATGGTTGTTTGGATAGTTTTAAGGGTCTGTTCTTAATGCTGTCTTCCATTCTAGTCTCAAGTTGATTATATATTTTCAAGGAAAGGAAAAGAGATTATCTCCAAGTTCTTTGCAAATGCTTTTTGGTTATCTAAGCTATCTAAGCTTGCTGCTTGAAGTCTGATTCAAATTCCCTTCTCTACATTAATGTGAAGTTGTTTATTATTAAGTAAATGGTTATGATTTGCTCAACATATGACAGAAATTGGTAAATGAATCAAACAAGGCAATCTGCATTACAGAAATTGGTAAATGAATCTAGTTTACTGAATGAGCAATGTACATTGTACATAACCACAATATCTAATTTAGTGAAACCAGTCAGACAGTATGGCTCTTCAGTAGTCCTACATGCGCAAACAATATCTTAGAATGTCCTGATTCAAGCTCCTGATTGTCAAGCTCCTGATTCAAGCAACAAATATCACAACTTTATTAGAGTTTTCTTTTAAACATGACACAATACATTTCTAGCATCATATTTGTATGGAAAGTGATACATTTGTTTACCCAGTTCATGATGAGCATTACATTTCATTAGAAAAATCAACTTAAAGATTAACTGTAGAAATCATAAAAGCTCCCTTGCCTTCTTATAATTCAAGGCTAATATTGATACCAGTTTGAGAAACACACACCAAATCTAGTTTAGTGAATGAGCAAAGTACATTGTACATAACCACAAGGCAAACTACTGATTTAGCTGAAAATAATCAAACAAATAATATACAAATGTAGAGGGTTTTCTTTGAATTTGATACACTCTGATTGTCAGTTGTCCTAACAAACTGTAACTTGTAGTTAAAGTTGTCACACACTTCAGCCTCAAACTTGTAATAGATCTCATTCGTGTAAATATCAACCATTTGCTCCAAAAAGTCATGATTTATTCTAAGTTTAGGTTTCTCAATTACATCTTTGTGATCGGCCATCAACTCCTCATGTCGTTGGCGCACTAATCCCCTGCCAAACTGTATCATAAAATCAACCAATGAATTATTCTTCGAAATAAATTTCTTAAAGAATGCATGTCCACTTTCCGCTCGTTGACTACTTGACATGTCTACTGAGAAAATGTGATTAACATATGTAGGAATCCATCTTGACCGAAGTTCATATTGGTCTTGCAACCACCTGTTTCCTTCTAACCCACTTTTCTTAATCAAACTTTCCCATTGTAAATCAAATTCTTCAGGAGTCTCTGATTTCCAAATGCAAGCCGAGAACTCACTTTTATAAATACTATACTTCACTACATCAATTTTCTCAGAAAACTTCATTAATATATGCCAACTACAATACCAGTCAAAAGAATTAAATAAATTGTTAAAAAGAAAGGTTATGTATATAAATATTTTTAATAATCTATACAAACCATAATACCTGTGAAAAGTATTTGGAAGAACATTAGGGAATGTCTTTGTCATAGCTGGGTCTTGATCGGTAATAATCATCTTTGAGGCACCACCAGACATACTTTCCAAAAATTTATTAAATAACCATACAAAATCATCAACACTCTCATGATTCAAAAATCCACAAGCAAAAACAATTATTTGACCATGATTGTTAACCCCCATTATTGGTGCAAATATCAGGCCATAGCGATTAGTGTTATAAGTAGTATCAAAGATTACAACATCATTGAAAAAATTGTAAGCCCGCCTTGAACTTGCATCGGACCAAAAACAACGAGTAATCTTTTGTTCCTCATCAGCCTCAATATGAAAAGTAAATGTGGGATTCTTTCCTTGTTCCAATTTTAAATACTCGTAAAAACATTTCACTGTCATGCCCCTTCATATCAGCACGTATATCCCTTTCATTATTACACAAATCTCTTTGAGTGCACCCAATATTTTCTATACCTCCAGATTGTACTCTAAGAAAACTAAATTGTTGATGCTATAGTATATTCACCATTGATAATTGTTTAGTTAAAGACTTTGTTGTGGCTGAAATGTTACGATAGGACCTTAAAAGATGAACCTTTGATGGTGTTGATAGCGGATGGTTGTGCTCCTCTTTAAAAATAGTAATAATGTTTTTTCCGTAGTTTGATTTTAAAACTGTAATTTTGGCAGTACAATCTTCAGCTACGATTCCTTGACGTCTTTTATTTCCAACATCCGCGATTCTTGGAGATTTTCCTTGTTTAAAATAAACATACTCATTCGTTCTTATTTCACCCCCTTCGTTCTTATTTCACCACTTCCAGGCTCTTTCTGAGTAGTCCAAGCCCTTACGCTAAACCCAGCTGCTTTAGCATAAGCATTGTAGAATGTTACAACATCATCTATTGTGTTAAATTCTTGCCCCTTTTTTGGCCTCAACTCATCTGATACTTGAGGAGTATATATCGAACTATCATCATCCAGGTTTAATTCATTAGCTTCAGTGTCCAAGTTTTCCATTTCTCATAAAAAGTTTTAATTGACCTATATAAAATGCACTGTATGTCAAATTTCTCTAATTCGAACCAAACAACAACTACTTGTTTTAGAAAATCAGAAAATCAACAAATTATTAGACATCAGTTAAATTATTCTAGTCAGTCAGCATTCAACATTCCAAACCCAAAAAATTTGATTCTTCAACATTAGAAAATCAGAAAATTAGAAAATCGAGAGCTCGTGAGGAAGAACGCATCTTCGTTGATGATTCCAGTTTTTTTGGGGCCTAACGGAGATCGAGAGAGGGAGGAGGCAACGGATCGAGAGAGGGGGGGAGAAATGCACTGTGGTCGGGTTTGGCGACGGATCAAGAGAGGGAGGAGGAAGGGTTGGAGGGGGGTGAGCCCAGATCTGGATAAGGACCCTTTGTGAGCTCGTGAACTCACTTATTAAGTTGATGGTTTTACGTCCTCACTCATTCTAGGAATTCCTAGCGGACTCTATACATGAATCCTAGGAAACTCTATCCTAGCTCCACGACTCGATACATGATAATCCTAAGGATGCTGGAATTAGAGCTCTGATACTAACTGTGATGCCCCCGGGTTTACACAAGGCTACAGTCCAAGGTAAAACCAATGATGTCAAACCTGCCATGCACCTATACTATGCAATGACATGTTTCACCATTACAAAAATATCCCTTTAGTGGAAACAAATAAGACAGTATAGGTACAAGCAGATATAAAAGAGATGAAGATAAAAAATAGAACACAAAAATATTTGATAAATATCCAAATAATCAGGTCTCAACAGATATAAAAGAAAGTATGTCCAACAATCTAAAATAAATGTTCCAAAATCTCAACTACAATAGTCAACTGAAAAGTACATAGGCTCTATCAGCCCTCAAAATGTAATACAAATCTAAACATCAACTAGAAATATAAACTGAACATCTATGGAGCAGAACTACTAAACATATATGATGACGACTATGCTAAAAATCCGTCAACCTGCGGCTCTCCGAAACTCTGCTCCGCTACCTAAAAAGAAATAAAAACCACAATGTCGGAGCACTAGCAAGATCATCTTCATCCACCCCCAGGGGAACAGCTACTAGGTATGATGGAGGCTCTACCTATAAGTGCATAGTCTACCTAGTTTATTTACCCTGTACTAAACTAGGGTTAATACTTAGAAACTCACAACACGAGACTGGTACGTCGAGCGAAATTATCCAAATAAGGAAACCCTCATGTATATACAATATGTCTCAAATTATGAATCGCTAAATATTAACTCCAAAACTAAGAATAAATAAATACAAGAAAGATAATACGGGAAATACCACATCATACATCTCCAAAAATGTCATATCAATTCCTCATACTACCCTTAGTGGGTAAAACAGATATTGACACACTCGTGTATGTAAGTTGTGAAATACTTTCACAATGGATCACATCGATGATGTCAATATTCACCTATACGTAGGTTATTTATCGAATCGTCCTTCTCTGGAATACATCAACTCATCGCACCCCCGTGAGGATCAGTAAATAGATATATCAGTTCATTGCACTCCCGTGTGGACCAATAACTAGGTATGTCAATTCATCACACTCCCGTATAGACCGGTAACTCAGTATAATAACTCTTCGCATAACCATGCGGACCGATAGATAGGTATATCAACCTCTACGTATCTTTGTACGAACCGATAGATAGGTATTTCAACTTCTCCGCATCTTCGTGCGGACCGATAGATAGGTACTTCAACTTTTGCGCATCTTCATGCGGACCGATAGATAGGTATTTCAACCTCTGTACATCTTCATGTGGACCGATGGATAGGTATTTTAACCTCTGTGCACCTCCATAGGGACTGATAAAGAACTGTAGTCCATCTGCGGTCTCATTGCAGGACCCGACTAAAGCACTCGGAGTATAGTCCATCCGCGGTCTCATTGCGGGACCTGACTAACCCCACCCAACCGGTCATAATTATAATACATATAATAATAGTCGTTACTCTTAATGATTGTAACCTATTTGGATACCCCAAATCATGTAATCATGCGTACTCAATCCTCGTATGTGTACTCTTTAAACTATGCATGAATATCAGCTCACGTCTTGCACAAAAATGCTCACCAAACAAACACACAAGCAAAAGGTTCAATTTCACAAAAGCCAACCTGATCAGTCAACCGACAACCTCATCAGTCGACTGATAGGGTCGTATACAAAACAACAGAGTAAAAACAAGCCCGTTAGTCGACTGATGCTTGCCATCAGTCGACTAATGATTGTAGGCGTCAAAAATTGCCTATAGGTCCCCGCACGTGGCTCGAGACATAGAAAAGATGATAAACATCACTATTCGAGTCACAGAAGCTTAATCAACATTGACAAGTGCATGAAGTGAGACAACAAACCATGCGAAGCAACAGAACTTTAGAATAATGGAAACATGAACTGATCAGGAGCTCCGTGTCACTTACGAAAGACGAAATACCCCCCGTGTCCCATCCACTCCACAGATGATTCAATCATAAAAGCTTGTAGATTTTCTCGACGGCTTTCCGATGCATCTTGAATTGTATAATTCCGAGTTCAAACGATGAAGATACGGCTGAAACGGACAAGATGCGCAGAACTACGTTCCGGGCCTCGGCGAGACACCCAGAGGTGTCTCGGCCTTGGCTGAGACACCACATGGTGTCTCGGACTTTGTAGAGCTGTTTTACCTATGATGTGCTTTGAACCTAAAGAAACTCAAAAGATAAAAGTTGTACAGATCCTTGTTAGCTTTCTAACGCATCTTGGATCAACTCATTTTGAGCTTGTATGTGAGTGATAAAACTAAAATACCAACTACTTCAGAATTCCGAGATAGTGTTGGTGTCTCTAAGAAGAATAGAGATTTTGGTTATGATTCAATTCGAATATGAAAAAGCTCAAAACATATAAGTTGTAGATAACTTCGTTAGATTTCCAACGCATCTTGAATCATATTATTTAGAGATTATATGATGAAGTTAGGGCTAAAATACCCAAGACACTCACTGGTGTCTCGGCCAGGCTGAGACACCCAGAGGTGTCTCAGCCAAACCGAGACACCCAGAGGTGTCCGCAGCCCTAAAAATCAATTTTTGGAAGTTTTAAGCGGTTTTTCGATGTTAACCGCCTAGATTTGTTCCAACTAATAAAATATCATCCAAGAACGTGGTTAAGTGGTTACAATTAAGGATAAGAGGGAATCGATCATTCTTATCCAAAAACAGGGGTCCCTAAACCTATAAATACAGCCCCATAGCCTTCATTTTTTTAGATCTAGAATTCTCGAGCATTGGTGAAGCCCTGCAGAATTGAAGACTGAAGGAGCATGAATTTCAGAAAAGAGGCGGAGATCAGATCGAGTTCGTCGGCATAAAGAAGAGGAGCTCATCAGATCTACAGTTCTCAGTTCCTTCCCTTGAGATTGCCCCGTTACAGTGATCTCAAGAAGAGTGATTATCTCGCTGTTGCCGAGATAATTGCTTCGGTTTCTTGATTCCTTTGTGGATCATCGAAGCTCCGGATCTGATCTAATCGTTTGGTGGTCCACGGATATCAACGTCCCCGTCACAGGCCAAGATTCCACACAAGCAGCGGAAGATAAACATCCGTTGTGTTTGTTTTGACGAGAGTTATAATTTTTATTTTCATTATGTAAGAGTCTTATAAAAAGACTAACTTTTGTTTTCATTGTAACGTTTAAAGTTGTAATGAACACAGCAATGAATACATCAACTTTCGATAAAAACAAACCGGCGACCACAGTGGGAGCCAACAGTCTCGTTACCGAGGCTATTGTGCCGCAGCCAACGATCAAGATCCCAGTGAATGAAGAGGTCGAATACGAATTCAACCAGCAGAAGTTAGAGGAGTACGTCTCCTCCTCCTCCTCCTCCAAATTCACCTCTCTTCGCAAATGCAGGAAGACCTCCTCCTCCCGGAAGATCCGCTGATCTTCAGATCTAAATACCCAAGAAGGTGATCTCCCTACTACTGCTGCCGCAGTTGCACCTCGCAACGATCCGTCAGTGTCTGATGAAGCCAAAGCCGCAGATCCGGACACCTTATCAAAGAGGGCTCGCCAGAGGCGCCGCCAACGTCTCTCCCACCAATTGGCTAAGGTTTTAGAGCAAGTGGACGGACTCCGCTACCAAGCGGATCTAGAGTTCAGAAAGCACCAAGTGGCTAAGTTGTAGCCACAACAAGCATCAGGGTCCTTCTCCCAACCGTCAACAAGAAGCACATAAATTAAACAGGAGGAGGTGGTCAAGAAACCACCAAGATCTAAGCAGATTTAGGTGTCGAAGGCCAAGTCAGCGCTTCTACATGACAAGAGACACCAATCATACCACTCGCTCGATTCCAGATCCAAAGCTGGTTCCCAGCTTTCGTCAAGTTCAGATCTCGCTCCTTCTAATCTCTCACCTCCGGTGAAGCTCCGTGATAGTATGGATATATTCAGAGGCATGAAAGCAATAGCGGAATGTCTAGGTCCTTTGCACGAGGATCAAGGCAAAGCTCTAGTCAAAAAACACTTGGGCACGATGAATGAACCCCGAGCAACTCATCAAGCTGGGGATCGCACTCGCCATTGCAACAAGTCTGAGCCTTCTCATAAAGGTAAAATTCCATTAACTGACCGCATTGGATTGCGAGTCGAAGTCCAAGATCCCGTTGAGGTCCCGCGCTCACAAAGGCGTAACTCCGAACGTGTGACTCTTGAAAATGCTAACAAAGCGTTATATCCCCAGAAGGAAACGTATTCGTCTGACGATGATAACGTTATACCTGGGAAGTTGTGCCAACGTACGATAGTCTGCTCCAGCAATCATGCCGATGAGTTGTACTATCAAGCTGGGGTACAAACAAAACTCGAAAGAGAAGTACCCGGGAAGCGGACTCTCACTGTTCGTGTATCAAAATTATCAGGACAGTATTATCAGTATGTAGCTACCCCA